CATCCCTGATGAGTTTCCACGGTTGAAAGTGGACCTCCCCCAGTTTCGCCCCAAACCTTTTCTTTCTGTCCAGATTGGGAACTAAATGAGCTGACCCCACATTTTGCTTTTTGTACGGTACTCTCCCTCTAAGACTTTGGTGAGGACATTACACCACGGGGAGCTTTCTTTCTTTTAAAAAAAAATAATGATTTCAGAGCGGAAGGGAAAGGGAGAGAGATATATAAATAGCAATGATGAGAGGAAAAGAAATCATCTTTAAAATCATTGATTGGCTGCCTCCTGTACTACCACCCCTCCCCCCCTCCCCCTCCCCTCTCCCCTCCCCCACTGGGGATTGAGCCTGCAGCCTGGGCAGGAATCGAACCACGACCTCCTGGTTCACAGGTTAGACACTCAACCACCGAGCCACACTGGCCAGGCACCACAGGGAACTTCCTACACTCACATAAGAGCACTCAGATTTCCCAGGGCCCCTGCTGGCTTCTGAATGGACTTGTCATCTTTCTATCTCTGGTCCACTAGCCTGGGAGTACAGATGTGGTCCTATTAACAAAAATACCTGTGCTGACAGAATGATGGCCCTCCAAGATGTCCATGTCCCAATCCCTGGAACCTGTGCATAGTTACCTGGCATGGCAAAAGGGACTTTGCAGATGTGACTGAATTAAGGATCTTGCAGTGGGGAGATTATGCTGGATTGTCTGGGTGGACCCTTATAAGAGCATCCTTATAGGAGGCAGGCAGAGGGGTCAACGTCAGAACAAGGAGTTGTGCTGAAGGAAATAGAGGTTGAAGTCATGCCCTTTGGAGATGGAGGAAGGGGCCATGAGCCAAGGAATGCAGGTGGCCACTAAAAGCCGGGCCAGGCAGGAAAACTGATTGTCTTCTATAGCCTCCAGAAGGAAAGCAGCCTTCCTAACAACTTGACTTTGGACTTCTGACCTCCAGAAGCATAAGGGAGTACATTTGTGTTGTATCGAGCAACTGAGTTTGTGGTAATTGGTTATAGGAACCATAGGGCGCGAATACAGGATCTAAATGGTGTGTCCCCCAAGCCTCCATGTGCTTGATTGCCAGGCCCCTGCCTGCCCTCACAGGGCTCTCCCCCTGATCTCATGAATGCATGGATGGAGGGTCAGTGTTGCCACTTTCTGACATCCTTGAGGAAGCCCACTGCCTGCAAGCTCACCACAGCTGCTATGTGGGACCCTTCCCAATGTCACAGTGCCCCTCCCTCGTGCAGGGCGTGCCACCTGCGAATGCTGCCTTTTCATATCACACCCCTGTAGGAGGCCAGGCTCTTACACTCTGTCTTTTGGGTCCCACAGAGTGCTGCTTTGTAGTCTCACCAAGACATCCGTCTGCTGTAGCCTTCTGGCCTGCACCCTTTCCTCCTTTGGGGGTAGGCTGGGTGGGCAGCCATCATTTTCTTTTGTCTTCCCCCCTCACCAGTATCTCGTCTATTTCTCTGAGCCTCACACCAAAACACATACCTTTCTGTCTAGTCTGAGGGCCAGAGCATGCACATTACGTTACACAAATTGACATCACGGGCCAGGGTGCTGGTGGGGAACATGGGAAGCGTCCCTGACCCAACCCAACGCTGGCCCACCTAAGACACACATTCTCTCAATGAAGGTCCACGGTATGCCGTTCCTTCTCCAGGACTCATCCTCAGAGCCAGTCTTTCCATTCTCTCCTCTCTTTCTGCTTTTTACCCAGGATGCTGCTTGTAATGATGTTCCTATTTGGGGTGTCTTATAGCTTTGCTTGGTAGCTGTCATTACTCATCTCATCTTCCTAAATAAAGGAACTTGTACAAAGTAGGGACTCCATGGGGGGTGCCAATAATGAGAATGCTAGCTGCAAAAATAAATGACAGGATTTGAATGGCTTAATAACCCAGTCATAGTTGATTCCCTGTTTACTAAAGGCCTGAAATGAGTGTTCTCAGTAGGTGGGTGGGCTTTCTCATGGCCATGCCATTCAGGGACCAGGCTCCTTTGGTTGCAGCTCTGCTGTCACTTAGGCTCCTGGGCTCCTGTGCTTGCAGCTGGTGGGTGGGAAAGACAATGGAACGGTGATGCTCACACTTTCATGTGCCTCCTACAAACCAGCTGAGGATATTGACAAATGCAGACTTGGATTCTATAGGCCTGGGATGGGGCCCAAGGTCCTGCTTTTCTTACAAGCTCCCAGGGGTGCTGGGCTGCTGCTCCAAGGACCATCTTTTGAGAGACAAGATAGGAGAGGATGGAGCAGTGGGGGTCAGGGAGGGTGGAGGCCTGGCCCCACTGGCTAGAATTCAGCTGCAGGGCCCACTACTCCATAGAGCAGTGGTTCTCAACCTTCCTGATGCCACGACCCTTTAATACAGTTCCTCATGTTGTGGTGACCCCCAATTTCATTGTTTCAAATTGAACATAAAGCATAGTGATTAATCACAAAAACAATATGTAATTATATATGTGTTTTCCGATGGTCTTAGGCGACCCCTGTGAAAGGGTCGTTCGACCCTCAAAGGGGCCGCGACCCACAGGTTGAGAACCGCTGCCTTAGAAGGTCCTTTTGCACTGAAGTGTGCCTCCTGGTGGTCCCTTTCAGAAGTCTGCCCTCTCAGGCACCTGCATCAAGGAGCTGTTGCCACAATAATGCTGCCTAAAATACCGAGAGGGAACCCAGGGTTAACAACAATGAGCACTTGCTCTCACGCTCATGGTCCGAGCATCGAGTATGGTTCTGCTGATCTGGTTGGGCTTGTGGGCTGCGTGGCTGTGCTTCTTGCTGCGGGGGTGGCATGGCTTGGTTATTCGCTGCTGCCTCTGCCCAGCACTCCTCCACGTGAATCTGTTCTCCATCCCAACCTGAGGGGCAGCAGCCACCTGGGGGCATTCTTCCCATGAAAGGTGGCATTTGTGCAAGAGGGCAAGCCTCCCCTTGGATTGTTCGTTAGCATCGTTTGACCAAAGCAAGTGCAGTCCAAAGTCACAGGATGGGGACACACCCTCCGCCTCTTCTGAGAAGCAAGAGGCTAAGGACACAGATCCAGGGAGGGGCAAAGAACTGGAAACAGCCCTTTAACCTGTCAGAGCAACTCCAAAGAGGCTCCCGTCCTTCCTAGGAAATAGCCTTTTAAGTCCTGAAAAGACTAGTCCTGTTTGCTGCCAGTAGTAATGAGAGCATACACTTTGAGGCTGGAGCGAATCTGGGTCTCATCGCTCCCTGTCTGCGTGGCCCAGGGCAGGCCACTCAGTCTTTAAATAACAGGAGAATCCCCTGCCCCCCAGGGCCATTCTGGAGATTAAATTGAATGATGTGTAAATAAGACACCTAGCATCCCACTGGGACTCCTTTTGTGCTTAGTATTCCTTCCCCTCCTTCCCAGGCCGAGCATCTCCCAGCGGTTCTCCGCTTTTCCTCCGGGTCTTCCTTGCTGAGTGGAATCAGCGTGTGCTTTATACGCCCTCCTCTGCTATGCCCTGTCCTGAACTTGAACACAAGGCTCAGGTGGACTATGTTGGAACAATGACACCTTCCGTATTGCCAAGGTTGTTTCCACTGAGACAGCCAACGCTTACGTGAGGTTATATGTCACCCCATTTTACCCGTGGAGGTTGCCATTAACTAAATTCCTGGGGTTTTATGCCATGCTTCCTGCAGGAGCTGCTGGATGTAATGTCTCTTCCGTAAGTGTTCAGAGCGTCCACTTTGTAGAAATACGTTGCACAATATGTTACTAGCTCTTCATTTTTAAAACCACCTTGTTGAGTAGGGTTGTTATTCCCAATTACAGAAGAGGGCGCTGAGGTTGAGAGAGGAGATGTGGTTTCCTCAGGCTCAACCAGCCCCTGCTGGAGTGACCCCATTTCTGGCCGCCATGTTGAGGGGTGTGACCGATTTTCAGGAGGCTTTTTCTTTCTCTCTCCCTGTCTCCTTCCTGCCCCCTTTGCGGGTCTCCAGGCTCCTTCATGATGGTGAACAGCTCCGGGAGGGCCTCCGGCCAGAAGGCCCACCTCCTCCTGCCCACCTTGAAGGAGAATGACACGCACTGCATCGATTTCCATTACTACTTCTCCAGCCGCGACAGGTCCAGCCCGGGCGCCTTGAACGTCTATGTGAAGGTGAACGGCGGGCCCCAGGGGAACCCCGTCTGGAACGTGTCCGGCGTCGTCACCGAGGGCTGGGTGAAGGCAGAGCTGGCCATCAGCACCTTCTGGCCACATTTCTACCAGGTAGGGGCTTTTCCATGGCTCAGCTTCTTTGTTAAGTAACCATAAACCCACCCACCTCTTGCCTGCCTGGAGTTGTGCAGTGGAGAAAGGACTTCATTTGCTCACTGGCTCCACTCGTCTTTACTGAGCTTCTCCTTTTAGCAGGCCCTGGAGGAGGAGACCGGTGGATAAATGATGACAACACAGCCAGATGCATTTGAGTTCCCACAATGCTGCAGGAACATAGACATTGAAGCCTATTGTACAAGAATTGATGAGGGGGACAGTGTTATCCAATGAGGAGAATGCTATGATTTTCCCTGTTTTACAGATGAAGAGGTTGAGGTTCAGAGAGAGGAGGTAACTAGTGAGAGATCACCCCTGGGGAAGAAGGTGTCGGGGTGGGGGGTGGGAAAGACAGTTAGGATGGCTTCTAAGAGGAGATGACTTTGAGGCCGAGTCTGGAAGGGTGAATAAGTGATTATTGAAGAAGGAAGAGAAAGGCATTTGAGTTGTTGGGGATAGGGCAGGCCATGGGCTCAGGAGTGGGTGAGAGATTTTGGCAGAGTATGGACACTCTAAGTGGACTAAGGGGAGGTTGCAAAGGAGATATACAGAGCATAGAGCCTGCAGGGGCAAGGAGGTCGTGTGGGCCCCGAATGCCAGGCCAAGGACATTACCTGTACTCACTGCTCTAGACCAGTGCTTCTCACACTCTCTGGTAAAAGACCAGTTCCCTCCCCAACTCGGTGTGGACCCATAGTTTTACAAATGGCAGTAAAAATGTCACAGCCATGCCACATTGCTGTCACAGTTTGTAAACGCCTCTCTCACTTTCCCTGCTCATCCCACTGGGGACTGAGACGCCGCGTGCATGCCAGCCCCAGCCCACGGAGCTCCAGGTCATCCTGACCTGGGACTGTGGAAAGATTTTTTTGTAAACAACACTCTTGAGGTACAATTCACATATTATAGAATCCACTTATTTTAATTGTGCAATTCAATGGTGTTTAGTAAAGCCACTGAGTTGTGCAATTACCACCACAAACCAGTTTGAGAACATGTCCACCATCCCAATAAGATCCCTTGTGCCTATTTTCAGTTAATCCCCATGCCCACGGTTGGAAGTGTTTAAGTAAGAAAGTGACATAGTTAGATCTGCGTTTTGGATACATTTCTCTAGAGTCCGGAGCAGAAGGTGGACCTGAGGGTGGCAAGGTTAGTGGCTGGGAGCTTCTGAGACGTCCTTCGGTTCAACATCCAAGCTGCAGTCCTTTCAGATGCGTCATGGAAACAGCCTAGACCAGTGGTCGGCAAACTCATTAGTCAACAGAACCAAATATCAACAGTACAACGATTGAAATTTCTTTTGAGAGCCAAATTTTTTAAACTTAAACTATATAGGTAGGTACACTGTTATTAACTTAATTAGGGTACTCCTAAGGCTTAGGAAGAGCCACACTCAAGGGGCCAAAGAGCTGCATGTGGCTCTCGAGCCGCAGTTTGCTGACCATGGGCCTAGACAATATGGAAATGAATGGACGTAGCTGTGTTTCAGTACAACTTTATGGACAAAAACAAGTGATGGGCCAGACTTGACCTCCAGGCCATGGTTTGATGAACCCTGATGTAGGTGATAGAGCTGAGGTCCAGAGAGAGACCACAAAGTCCAAGAGCACACAGCAAATCACTGGCAAAGCTGGGGCCGGAGCCCAGATGCCTCAGTGTGTAAATGCCAAGTGTCTCTATAAGCCCACGGATACCTCCATGGATACCTTCAGGTCCCAGTCAGAAAGCCCCGGCCAGTGGGGACAGGATGGGGCCACAGGTGCAAGTATAATGAGCAGGATAAGTGACCCAGGAGAGGGACAGTCACACTATTGGTCACGGTCTCTGATGGGGTATGGAGGGGAAAAAAGAAGTTTCTTGGGCATCCCTATGTCCCAGCTCTGTGGTAAGCATATTGCCTCTCACTCACCTGTATAGTAACTCCTGTGTTGGGTAGCAGCATATCCTGTGTTCCAGAATAGGGGATATTATTGGCAAACTCAGGTACAGGTCCTGTGGCTCCAAGTTCAGTTTCCTCTTTTAGGGCAAATAGCCTTTCCATTCTGAGAATCTTCCACTCACTGGCTCAATAATGGTGAATGCATCTCATCATCATTTTGAATCACAGTTGTTTCATTTGTAAGATCGAGACGGTAATGGGTCCAAGGAGGGGTTCTTCTGTGGATTAAATAAGGCAGCACATACATAATGTCTTGTCAGCAATTGTCAGAAGGAAGGAAGGAGGAGGAAGCCAGGGGAGAACAGAAAAAGAGGAAGAAGGAAGGAGAACTTTTTAAAAGAAATACCCTCTGTGGTTGAGCTGTACTGGGTCAACTCTGAACCGGCCCTGTGATAAGCAGCTTCATCTGGGAGAATTTTATTTTCTGATTTCCAACTTGTTGGCCACTATAGTGCTGTTACATTACATTTCCTTTGCTCTGAGCTTCCTGGTGAAAAAGCCACTAATGCGCTGAGAGCAGCAGTTTAGAACAAACATGTGTGTCACACACACACACACACACACACACACACACACACACACACAGAGGCAGTAGTGGATGGTCTCAGGCCATGCACCCAGAGTGGAGCACACACAGAGGCTCACACACCTGCATGCTCCCAGACTCACGCGGACTCAGGGGCACCCGCTCACACATACGTCTGCGGGAGAGGAGAGGGGACCTATCAGGAGATTCGAAGACTTTTGCAAAATGGATTTTAAATTCACCAGACCCCCAAGTTCTGGTCCTGCATGTAGGAGGCTGTGGACTAAATAGTTTTAGTTTTCAGTAGTGCTGGTTTTCACATATGGATGGCTTATGTATTCATTTATTAAAGTCATATTTCACAGTCCTACAATGGACTTTTAGCTCCGTAATAAACAGGGAAATTTTATCTTTCTTATTAGTGGGCATTCTGGCAGGAGGCCTTGAGCAGGGCCTGGGGTAGGAATGTCCCTCTGCCATTCACCCCCACTCCCACCTGGCGTCTCTCAAGCCAGCGAGGGCTTAGCAAGCCCTGCTTCAGATCGCTGCCCCTTTCCAGGGGATATTAATTCTGTTTCATGTTTTTAATGATTCTGAACTTATCCATCGCAAGATTTTTAAAAAATAAAAGAACTCATTATTAATTTTGCAGCCACTGGCTCTCTCTCTCTTCTCCATCACCTGCCTGGGTGAAATTACCTTTTATCCCGCAGAGTAATTGCTCTGTGGACCCCTGAAATTTAGGAATCGCCTGATTTGGATTCAACTGGACTCAGAGCCCTTTCTCAGCAGTCCCTCAGGCCTCCTGAGCAGTCCCTGAAGGCACTCTACACTCTGCAGGTTTAGTAACTTCATGCACAGTTCAGGAGGATGCATCCCAGGGAGGGGACCACTCCCCCCCGGAACTCCGCCCTGTCTCCTCTCTCATCCACCCACCCTCTCAGCTAAGCACCAAACCCTCCTCCATGTCTGCACAGGCCTCCTTGATTTCACCCTGAGCAATCCCTCCACCAGTTTTTACCAGTCACGACTCACATCACAGTGTCTGTGGAGTATAAGAACTTCAGTGGAAATTTGGGGTGGGGGTCACAGGGGGTAGTCACATGGACAGTCCTTTACCCTCTCCCTGTCCCTAGATCTAGCACTATTCCTGCCTTTCCTCTAATTTCCCATCCCTCTCTCCAGAGCAAGAGCAATAGTATTCGTGACACTTACAGATATCTAACCATGTCTACTGTAAGCACTTGAGAATTATCAACTCATTTAATGGAAAACCAGAACATGCTTTCCCATGTTTCTTACAGACTATTACTCTGTCCTATTTGAGAAACCAAAATCTTACCTTCCCTAATGCTTTACAGAAACATTCCCAGGAGGAGTTCTGATGAATGAAAGATACTCTGTCTCAGTATAGAACTCTTATTTCTGTGAAGGAAGAAAAAAGAACAGTGAACAAATGTGTATTTCACTGTCACACATCCATCCTCCCATGCCAAGCCTTGTGTTCATTCATGGAGTATTTATTAATTATTGTGATATAGGATAGGTACTGTGTGAGGATATGAGAAACAAAGCCTTAGAAGAATTAAATTAAACTGATGAACTGGAATAAAAGCCAGGATTCTGCTTAATCAGGGGTTTTGGTTAAGTGAGAGTGGTTCACCAAAGTTCAAGAATCGCCATGGCCATGTACTGTGAACCAGGAGACCAAGACCTCAACTCTCAGCCCCCTGTGGCTTCCTTTCTGAGTTTTGGTAATTGGGGCTGTTGGGAGGCTAGTTCAGGTCACATAAGTGGTCAGTATTGTGACCTTTATTATTGTGGGCATATTTCTCCGTTTGCATTATTTTATTATCATTCTGTTTTTGTTGAGGTGCCCCTCTGGTCAATACCCATTATTCCTCTGGTATCCTGACCCCAATGGACTGACTCCTGCCCCCTTTAGAATCTTTTTTCATCTGTCCCTCACTCATATTCTATGCTACTCCCCTGATTCATTCCTCTCTACCTAACATCATGTTCCAGTCTCTACCATCCTAAAAAATACCTTCTCTATTAGACTTTTAGCACTTGGCCTTGGGCCCTAGCTCTCATCTCTGAACTATCTACTCTGCCTTTCAAGGTGACCTTATCTAGTTCTATAACTTTAAATGACACTTAGATGCCAAAGCTACCACATTTGTAACTCTGGTTCCTAAATTACCCATGAGTTTCAGAAACGTAATGTCAGCTTCCTACTCAACATATCCATTATGATGCTTAATTGTCATCGCAACTTAACATAGCCACCAGGAAACCCTGACATAGTCGACCTGTGTGCCTGTGCACGCGTTCATCATGTCACTTTCCCTATGTCAGTAAATGACACCAGACTCAGCCCAGAAGCTCAGGCTCTAAATTGAAGAGTCCTCGTTGAGCCTTCTCTTTCCTTCACTCTTCTCCTGTTAATCTCACAGCAGTTCTTTTCGTCTCTACGTTAGAAATCTCTCTTAAACCACCAACCTTTATTCTGTATAGCCACCACAGTTATAAACAATATCCTCACTTTTTTCTTTTTATTTATTTATTTTAGAGAGACAGGAAAGGTGTAGGTGTGTGTGTGTGTGTGTGTGTGTGTGTGTGTGAGAGAGAGAGAGAGAGAGAGAGAGAGAGAGAGAGAGAGAGAAATATTTATTGTTCCACTTATTTATGCATTCATTGGTTGATTCCCATATGCGCCCTGACCAGGGATCAAACCAGAAACCATGGCATCAGGATAAAGCTCTAACCAGCTGAGCTACCTGCCAGGGCCCAAAGCTATCCTCATCTTTTGATTGGATGACTACAGTAGCCAAGGGATAGGTCTGTTTGCTTTATTCATTCTCATTTGCCCACCTGCCAGTCAGTTGGTCTGAATGATCTTTTTAGAATATAAATTAGAATGTGTCTCTTCCTTGCTGTAAATCTTTCAGCAAATTAGAAGAAAATTCGAGCTCCTAACTATGTCTTATAAGACCCCAAGTCACCTGACTTCTCTACACTCCAGCCTGGCTTCGTGCCTCTCTAGCTTGCTCTGTTTCCCAGATTCCCTCTTGCGTTCCCAGATCATCTCTGAGCCCTTTGCTTCCTCGTGGCCTTTGCACTTGCCACCACCCCCTCCCCACCTTCCTTGTCTGGCCACTTTCATCCTTCTGGTGTCATAGTGATTATCACCTCCTCAAGGTTCTCTCCTAAGCACTCTAGGGAATATACACCCTCTTCTTAGTTACTCTTAAGCACAATATATTCTGTTTCTTTCCTTCATAATGCTAATCACACAATTAGTTTGACTTTTCATATTGATTTGTTTAATTTCCATTGTCATTCACTAAAATGTGAAATTCATCAGAGCTAGGACCTCAATATTCTTGTTCATTTTTATCATGCAGCATGTGTCTCAATGTTTATTACGGAGAAGGGTCTCTTTAAATGTTGACTGAATAAATGAATGTACAGATGAATAAAGACACTTTTCCTATTGTCAATGGGTTTAGAGTTTAGGAAATGAAATGATTTGTGAGCAAGCAATGGCAATAGGGTGTGATAGGTGCTAATTGTATGGTGGTACATGGCATCATGATAATATAACATGAAGGGAGATATGCAAATGTACCATAAAACATTTCATTTTTAGTATAAATATAAAGTAGCTCATTTTTACTGCAGAAATTTTGGAAAATCTAGAAAAGTATAAATCAGAAAATAATCATCTACCATAATTTCCCCAGTGTCATTAAAAATTGCACTCATAGATTATTACCATTCCGACTTCATCTTTTGTGAATTGCCTACTGATGTTACTTGCCAATTTTTTTTGAGAGTTTATTTATTTTGTTGAGTCTTAAGAATTCTTTACACAAAACAGGTCATTCACCTTTTTGCTGGCATATATAATTACAAATTTTTTTCCAGCTTGCCATTTGACTTTTAATTTTGTTTCAGACTTTGTTAATATACAAAACATATTTTGACATCATAGTTCCTAAGAAGGTATTGGATATTTAATTAATGCATATTTCAATTTTAAGAGATTGATTTTGAAGCATTTGTCATTAATTTCTAGCTTTAATGAATTTAGTTAGTTAGAAAATGCACAGAGCCAAACCTATATGGTTTCTTCTTTGATGCGTTGATTGAACTTATACTTTAGTCCAGTGGTTCTCAACTTTCCTAATGCCGCGACCCTTTAATACAGTTCCTCATGTTGTGGTGACCCCCAACCATAAAATTATTTTCATTGCTACTTCATAACTGTAATTTTGCTACTGTTAGGAATCATAACGTAAATATCTGATATGCAGGATGTATTTTCATTGTTACAAATTGAACATAATTAAAGCATAGTGATTAATCACAAAAACAATATGTAATTATATATGTGTTTTCCGGTGGTCTTAGGCGACCCCTGTGAAAGGGTCGTTCGACCCCCAAAGGGGTCGCGACCCACAGTTTGAGAACCTCTGCTTTAGTCTGTTATATGATCTTTGTGTAAATAACCCATGAATGTGTGAACAGAAATTTTATTCTCTAAATTCATTAACATTTGTTTAGTAAATGCATCATTGTTTATATTATGTACATACTTGATAGATGCATTTTTTTCTGTTTAATTTGTCAGAATCTAAAATGTGGGTTAAATAGGTATAAATGAGTTTTATTTAAACTGTAACTACTATTTGTTTCCATCATTTTCTTCTTTTAAGTCTATTGACTCCTACATTCTTTTTAAAAAATATATTTTTATTGATTTCCAAGAGAAAGGGAGAGGGAGAGATAGAAACATCAGTGATGAGAGGGAATCATTGATCAGCCGCCTCCTGCACCCCCAACACTGGGGATTTTGCCCACAACCCAGCCATGTGTCCTGACAGGGAATTGAAGGGTGACTTCCTGGTTCATAGGTCGACCTTCAACCACTGGGCCATGCAGGACAGGCCATACATTCTTTTAAATGACCATTTTAGTCCACTTAATGGTTTTTTGTTTCCCTTTTGGTTTAAATTCTGCCTTGATGCTTTTACATTATTTTTGCAATAACTGTTTTCTGTCTATTTGTATTTCCCTATTATTTCCCTTTGTTCAACTTGTTGTTCTCAAGGTTACTGAGTCATTCTGCTTTAGGTGTTTATCTGATAGCATACAATTAGGTTTTGTCTATTTGGACAGTCTGAGAGCTTTTCTCTATTTTAACCTATTTATTGTCACAAATATTCTTGTTACTTTTGTCACTTTTATTATACAACTTGAATAGTTTTATACTGTTTCTTTATAAATGTATCTTCTGTATTCTATTTTCTTGTTATTTTTTCCTATGGACTTTGCTTTTGGTTTCATTTGAATTACTAAAAACATAATTAGACATGCAGTTATTGATAGAAAGGCCTTCTGCTGACTTCCTCTCTGCGGGATGAGGCAGCTATCACTTTCATTTCTGCAAACTTTTCCCCTCCTTCCTGCACGGTTCTGTTTGTTAACTCTCTCTGAAGGACCCTGTGTCTTAGTAAATCCCTCTTCCCCAGTGGTTGTCATGCTGATGCCAGCTGCTCTATGTTTGGTGTGACTGCCATTCCCAAGTCACTTTATGTAATTCCCAGGCAGCCATATGTTGACTTAGAGGAAGCTGCCTCTTCAAAGCCATCACCACCCTCTCCACCAGTTCCCGTGGTGAAGGCAGTATTGTAAGGGGCTTGCCAGAGTTGTAATGAAGCTGCTATGGAAGTAGTGCTATAGGCAAGAGTGGTATGTGTGATTATCCAATGTAGTGGGGGTACCCCAGGCTTGTTGAAAATAAAAGGTGTCCCAAAAATATATGCACACTTTGAAGGATTATAACGTCAGTGTTGACTAACATACAGTACATTTTCAAAATTAAGTCAGTTATCAGCTGTTAAAATATATATAGATTATTTGGGACACCCTATATAGGGAGGTCCAGGCAAGCCTGTAAACTGTGGAAACTTGAGGTCCAGGGTACCGCATGAACCTGAGATCAGGTTTAAGAGGAATGAATTGGGAGTGGGGTGTGGGGCAGGAGGCTGTGCCAATATATAGGAAGATAGAATTTCCACTCTCTGAAGTGGAGAAGGACAAGTCTGAGCCTGTGGCTGACGCTGAGTGGGAGATAAAGCCATTCGAGTTAGAGAGGTCAATGGGTTGGTCTGGTTGTCCACATGGATAGTCATAGCTCCGAGTTGAAGGCAGAGGTTGGGTGACAAAGAAAGCCATGAACTGAGCCATACAGTCTCTACTGAAATTAGCAGTTTGGGTGGGAGTCAGAATGGAGAACTGAAAAAAAACATGTTGCCCTTGAATTCCCAGATACCAACAGTTGTGCAGATTTTGAAAGGTGTTATTAAGAAATTCAGATGGACTGTTGGTGTTCCTTGGGGATATAGAATCAAGTCAGGATAAACCTCCCTTTTCTTATGGGAGCTTCCAAGGTAAGCTCCTCCCCCAGCCCTCATAAGAAAGTTGGGGTATTAGGAAGTAATTCTACTCTGTGTTTCACTTGAAACAACCATGAGAAAGGTGCAGATTGGGGTCTGCAGGCCATATTTGGGTTGCTGTCCCTGCATCCAAGCGTTGTTTCTGAAATCCATTAAGAATGTTCCATGTGGCTGACTCTCCTTTTGCTCGTCACAAGGCCTTTCTACCTTGTTTTGAAAATCCAACTCAATTGCCAGGAGAGCATGCTAGCCTAATATAAGGCCTCTTTGGGTGATTCTGATGGGAAGCAGAATCATAAAGGGTTTTTGGGGGGTGGGCAGATTCCTACGACCAGTGCCTACAACCACTTCTGTGAAATTGACTCCCGCCCTGTGTGTGTTGCAGGTGATATTTGAATCCGTCTCTTTGAAAGGTCATCCTGGCTACATCGCTGTGGACGAGGTCCGGGTCCTCGCACATCCATGCAGTAAGTCTGTTCCCTTCTCCTAACACAGCCTTACTCCTCGTCAGACTGGGTAACTTGGAGGATGCAACCCCCCTCTTCATTCAGCTCACAGACATCTCTCTCTCTGTTTTTTAATTCTTCCAAAGTGCTTACGTACTCAATGCAATCAGTCCTGAATAAATCCATAATTTTGCCGGCCTGTTCCACAGGCAGCACCTCCAGGAATTTGCAGAGACTGGCAAAACATCTTCGTTTGAATCTCTCTCCATTATTAAGGGAGTCTAAAGTCCTGATTGTTTATTAGTGGGATTCAGACCACTGAAGTGGAAGAATTAGAGGGCTTTGGATAGAATTGTGTGCAATTGTCTTTTTTTTTTTTAAAAAAGGAACAACACCAAAACACTGAAGAAATTAGTACAGTGTTCACTCACAGGGAAAAGTACCCCAAAGCTATTAATTTTTAAAAGTAATTTTAAATTCACTCATCAGCTCTGTGTAGGCGTAGAGAAAGATTTTTCACAGTGGTTAGTACTTATGGTACAGTGTCAAGAGCCCTCAAGGGCATACCACTCCTCCATGCCGATCAAGTTTCCCCTTGAATTTCTCCCTCTTTGCTGTATTTATTGTAAGATATTTGAATGTGTTTGAGCAAGGAGCTGCAGTTCTCGGGTTCATTAAATCTGAGAGGGGACAAGTCCTGGATGTAAGTAGTTGAGATGACATCATATCCCATGTGGTGGGGGGAAGGGCTGTCGTCAAAGAGATGTGCTTGGGGATTATGGTAGCCCCTAGGAGGACTCTTTGGGATGCCGGCCCCATTAGTTAGTGTTCTGCATATTGGAGATTCTCATCAGTTTCTCAGCAGCCATCTGGTCCCAGGCAACTCTTAGTAGGGCTCTCTCTACTCCCCCCCCTTATAGCCATGAGTCATGCTATTGGCGATGGTGCAATTTGCTGTTCCCTCAAGAGACATCAAGTGCCCTGTCCTTACATTCCTTTCAGTCCTCCCATTTGAGGGCTATTCTCATTTCAGCCCCATCCATGCTGCTTTATTTAAAACCACTCTTCCTACTCCTGCTGCAGTGAATGTGTCAGAGCCTTCATTCCCCTGACACTAGAATGCCATTGTTTGACTCATTGCCTGGGAGCACCTTCTCTGGAGGAAATAGGGAAAGTCCCGAGGGGTTCGGGCAAGACAGTATTTGGGGTAACTGTGTTTGATGTCGGTGCAAGAGACCCTTCTTTCCCAGAAATCAGCCGGCATCTCAGGAATGCTGAGGTCCTGCTCCACTCTCCATTACTCTCTCTGGCTAAGGTACCCCCTACCCTCTGAGTTACTTCCTGAGTCTTTGTAATTCTCTCGGATGGGTCTGGCCATTCAATCACGCCTGGCAAATGTCTCTGATGAACTAGACTTCATATGGAAAGGGTCCCAGAAATCCTCCCTGTCCCCGCTATGCAGGGTTTACATAGTGGATATGCAGATGAGTCCCCTTTTCTGGGATTAAGTCTTCCCTTCCCTCAATTCCTGGCATCAGCATCAACTGCCCATTGGAGAATGAGCTTTGTCCTCAGTCTGGGCAACTGCATGGGGAGATGTCTACTCTAGCTGTTGTTCACTGAACCTCAAGCCTGCACTGCCATCAGCTTTGAGGCAATCTCTCTGAAACAAGTCTCAGTCTTAGCCCCCAGCCCTGCACACATCCCATCCTCAGAGAGGACGCTTACCTTTGCTGCATCCAGTGCCTTCCTGCTCCTGACCCTGTGTGCGAGGTTTGCCCTTGCTCTTCCGGGCAGGTGGTATTTGCCTCTTCCCAGGAGAATCTGGCCTGGCTCTCTCCCAGGACCCCAGAACTCTGTGCTCTGATGAGAATTTGTACCTCCACCATGAGGCTCAACTGTACACCTGTCTCTGATCACAGCCTCAACCACCTTCAAGGTCAGATTGGCGAAGCTCTGCCTTGACTCCCAGCACCGTTCATGGTTTGCCATTGCAGCCAAACGTTTCCTTCTCCTTGAGAAATCTCCAAGGGAGAGGGTCCCCTGGAGGGCACATGGATGCCTTTCCATCCCCCAAGTCTCATGGCTCCTCTTAGAATCCTCCTCTGGCCGGGGCTGCTCCTGAATTTAGAATTCTCCTGACAGCCTCGTCCTCCTGCTGAGGAGGTGCATTGCATGGTTATGGAATTACTGAGAGCCAGTTACCCAGCAAATGGGCCATGGGATATAACTCAGGAAGACGTGACCCTGGCTGAGTTCCTGCATAATGTGCTTCGGCCGAGTTCAGCCTTGATGCTTAGGCGGCTGAAACTTAAACTTCCCAGAAATCAAAGTGTGAGGACCCTGTGATAGTGGTTGGAATGGGAAAAATTCCATTTAGCTATGTATACATATACTGGCAGTACATACAGTCCTCAGAGATCGAGCCACCGCTCATGAGTCATGTGGAGTTGAGCAGAGCCTAGCCTAGGCCGCTTCCCAAGGTCCCCTGCTCAGTCCAAGTCCAGTCCAGGTGTCCATCCATCTTTTCTTTCAACAAGTAGACTTTTGAGCATTAGTTGCATGTCAAGAACTTCTACTGGACACAGGGGATACCTAAATTTCAGGGTGCGTATTTAGCAGAGGGGCAGAGGGAGGAAATACACTAGACAAATAGTATTAAATAAATCACTAATATAATTTCAGATAGCGATGAGTGCTATGAATATAATAAAGGCAACTAACTAGAATATGGGAGGGCTCCTTAGATAGAGTGGCCAGGGCACAAGTCTTTAAAGGCATGATCTGAGCTGCACCCTGAGTCACAAGAAGGAGTTCACTGCATAAGGGTTTGGGGAGGGGCATTCCAGGTGGAGGAAACGCAAGTGCAGAGGCCTTACAGTAAGAATCACTGATGGTGGGGGTATCCTGGGCATCGTGTGCAGGGAAAGTGGTCTGAGCTAATACTGAGGCGGCAGGGGTGGGGGTAGGGGAGGAGGGAAGCCGGGGCCTGACCATGCGGGGCCCTGAGAGTCATCATGAGCAGTTTCTATTGTAATCTAAGTGTAGGGGGCGCCACTAGAGGGATTTATGCTGGGGATTGATATGATCTCATTTAATTATTAAAAGATCACTTCAGCTGTTTGTGGAGAGAGTTGAAGGGGAATAGAGTTGGGGGATCTATTAGAAAGTTCTGGATTCATGCAAGAGATCATGACAGCAGCCTGGACCAGGGGAGTGGAGAGGCATCCGCTCATCATTCAACAAGTGTTTACTGAGCAGGGACTCTCTGCCCACACTATTCTGGGTTGATGGGAATAAGACAGTTTCATTCTCTGCTCTCATGGGATTCCCTCAAAGTGAAAGAGACTGGAAATGAAACAAATATCAGGTCATTATATGACCTATAGCAGATGGTATATTTGTTTGCTAAGGCTGCCATAACAAAACATCACAGTCTGGGGCCTAAACAGTTATTTTATCACAGTGTTGGAGGCTAGAAGTCCGAGATGAAAAGGCAGGTTTCGTTTCCTCCATGGCCCCTCTCCTCTGCTTGTGGATGGCCGCTTTCTCACTGTCTCTTCACGTGGCCTTTCCTCTATGCACACCTGCCCCTGTGTGCCTTTGTGTCCAGGTCTTTTCTTCTCATGAGGACACCCTTCTCAGGGCCCACTTTAACAACCTCATTTCTACTTTAATCACCCCTTTAAAGGCTCTCTCACCAAATACAATCCCAGGGTGAGTTATTGAGCATTAGGGCTTCAACATATGAATTTGGGGGTACACTTCAGCCCATAGCAGATGGCAACCCATGCTGTGAAGAAACATCAAACACAAAGATGGACAGAAGTGGATAGATTAGGGATACATTTAGGGGGTAAAGCTGACTGGTCCCATGTGATGGTTAGATTGGGAGCCAGATGCACCAGAAATGGAGCATTCCCAGTGTTGGGGCTTAAGCCACTGGTACAGGCTCAGGTGGTGTGAGTCTGGGGAGAATTGTGTTCTGCCTTCCAAGGTACTGACCGTGCTCACGAGATCACACATCATGCAACCTGCTGGTGGCTTCGAACTGTCCATTGGACTGACAGTGCCTTTTTCCCGACTCCAGACTAATATGAATGCATTTATAACTTCACTCAAACATTGTTAGACATTTAACTAGATGGAGAAATATGCATTCTCTTCATGTCAGGCTTATTAATTCTCCACTTCTGTCCTCCAAAACATCATTTCTATTAACATGTGGTCAGCATTTATTAATAAGTATTCCAAAAGTTCCAGGGGGGTTGGTGCCCAATTTGCAATTGTATTCTTGATCAATTTGAGCTGGAGTTAGGGCTTTAAACGCTTGCCTTGCAGTCTCCAAAACAGTTAAGGAAAGATAGGCATACCACTAGGAGGAAATTATTTTCCCATATGAACCAAAATCTCTCGTCTATATTTTAAAGCCCATTTAACATTTTTGTGTTATTTTAATAGTGTTTCAGCCATAGTTACCCTGCACTGTTGTTTCTCAGTGTTAGCTGATAGCCACTGCAGCTATAACTGTGTACGAGAAATGTCAGCACAATTTTCCACCCAATTTCAAAGTTTCTAGCTAAGTTGACTTTTAGAATTTTTAAAACTATTTTTTTACACCAACCTTGTGGGACAATGTCATTGAACCCGTGGAGTGTCTGCGACACGGTTCTGATGTATGTACTGAGCTTTCTCCGCAATTGTGTGGCTTCCCACTGAGCACTGTCAGGTTTAAAGCACGCGATAAAGGGCAGAATAATATGTCTTCAGATGCTGCAATGACATCTGCAGGAGTTTAAATGTCACCAACATCAAGGCATTTTACCCCAAATGCACAGCAGTTTTCTGATAAGCCCATTCAGCAGGATCCCATTTTTGGGGGGCTGAGTCTCAGTGGGGAGTCAGTGTGGAATGCTGGTCTGGATCCTGAGGTCAGCTGTATTTGGCCGCAGGTCAGTGAGTTGAAGCCGGTGGGATGATAATGTAGATGCTGGGGGAAATAACAGTCGAGAGAGCACAGGGCTTAGAAGTAAACTGGAGAGTGGGGCTGGGTTGAGAGGAGGGTCAGAGAGACCAGGAGCTCAGAGAAGTGGACCAAACAGGTCGCCAACATAAGGAGAATGTCCACAGAGAGAGATGCCTGTCATGATCTGGGGATGAGAGCCCTGGTCTCATCAAAGATCAGAGACCATCATTGTTTCATATTCATGAAAGTTAACACTCAGGATGATTAAGCTTCTAAATTCTCTGCCACTGAACCTAGAAGGAAGGGAGGAAGAGGGATGGAAGATGAAAGAATCAAGGCAAACGTTCTGCTTTTTCAAATCAGAAGGGGTGTCAGAAGAAAGCGGGGACATTGGACCAGAGAAGATCATTTCTAATTGCATAAATCCCAAAGGTTAATCCATTTGCCCACTGTTCCCCTAGGGCAAGGGGAGGCATCCCTTTATAAAGCCTAACGCGAAGCCTCCCAACACTACAGTTAAGAGTCTGAGCTCCCTTCTCTCATGGGGTAGATGTTCCCTTTGCCCTTTAAACCTGTGGCGTAGATGGGCTTCGGGCTCATGTGAAGAATTGACTTGAACGGATAGTTCCAAAAATAACTGTGCAAATTATATAGGAGAGCAGAAAGGAAACGATTTCAGACAATCAGAGCAGCATGACATGTGTCAGGTTGACTAGATGCGAGGAATCTTCAACTCCGAGACCTCACAGGAGAGGTCTCCCTTGGGCCCTGGACTGTTGACTCCACTCTAGCCGTGGGTTTGGAAGGAAGCACAGGGGGGTCTCTGAACTATTGTTATTTGTTAAAAACCAGAGCAGAAGGTATATGTTTTTGCACCAGCGTCTGCCTAATCTCACCAAGGTTCTTGGTTTTGCTGAGCTTTAGAGGCAGTGACGCAGTTTGGTAGACCAGATAGTTGAGAGGGTGAAAGCAGTGGGGATGAAAGGTAAGGAAAGTGATCACTGGTGATAAAATATTTGGGAGCAATGAGAGGAGCCTGGAGAATCAGCACAGCCTTTCCTGTGAGCCCTTTCTTTGGACCCTAGGGTCCAGGTGACACCACTGACCTCCCTTTGCCCAGGAAACAAGAGAATGTGCTCATTAAATGCTGATTTGGGGCTAACATGGACCTGGTCTGAATTCTGTTTCTGTCATTACTGCTGTGTAGCTTTGAGCAAATTAAACTTGGTGAGCCTTGGTTTCTGCTTCTCTAAAAGGGAAATAATATTAGTGTTTGCTTTACAGGAATGTTATGAAGTTAAATTAGATAAAATCTCTAAAGCATTTATCACAGTACTAGTACCTGGCATTGTAGGAGCTTTCAAATAAATGACATTATCATTATTATTTGTGTCTCTGGATATTTGACTCCGTCTGGCAGATAGGTCCTTTTGCACCTCCTTGAGTCTCTTAACAGCCCCCCATTTGATCCCATTCTGGGAGTGGTTGATGTGATAAGGACCCATGGCATTTTTGTACCTCATGGAAGAAGGTCATTCTTCTAGGCATAGGTTATCAATCCACTCATCTTTGAAGTGCTCACATAGATGAGGACTTATCTCCACAAAAAAAGGAGATGGACCCAAGTCACCCAGCATATGTTTGATTCTAGAATTGATCGCTTGTAGACCCTGAGTTTCTTTGGAAAGTCCTTTCTTCTGTTTGCCGAGTCCCCAAAGTAAGTTCCCATTTCCTTCCCATCTTTCCGAGACACCGTAGCTTAGAGTGAAGAATGTACACGGTGAACATTTTTTTGAGTTTTCTGTGCCTCAGTTCACTTACTGTGACATAGAGATAAAACCACCAACTGCATCGGTTTAAAAGAGCTACTGTGTAGACACTGCACATGACACCACTTGCAGTCCACCTATGGGAATGAAAGCTACTAGCATCCCCCCCCCCACCCTTTCTCTCTCCTTCCCTCTCTTCCTCCTCAGCATCTTCTTCATTAGCAACAAGGCCAGGTTGGAAGTCTGAGGCCCAAAGGTGCTTCACTTCAGCTTTCTTCTTTCTACCCACCCAGGCTACAGGAGGAATTTTCTGTGGTGAACCCCTCCCCCAATTTCTTCTTCTAAACATGGCAGTATTGCCCAGCAGTTAATATGGATTTGAGGTCCTCAGAGACCTGGATTCATGGCTTCGTTCCCCCACTTTCTGGCTAGCTGACTGTGCCAAATCATGTAACCCCTCTGAGCCTTAATTTTCTGACCTGAGAAATGGAGATACTGCCCACCCCATGGATTTTTGTGAGATTTTAGGCACGAGGATGCATGAAAGCTCTCAGAACATACCCAGCTCATAGTAAGCGATCCATCAACAGTAGCTCCTCACTGAACCAGGCCACTTCCCAGGAACACATTCCACCCTGCCAGGTGCTGTGCTGAGCTGCCAGGTGCCCACAGGGAAGGTGGTTCCCACTGTTGAGTTCTCTTCTCATGTGCTCTCTGGTTTCTCTCTTAGGAAAAGCACCTCACTTTCTGCGGCTCCAAAATGTCGAGGTGAACGTGGGTCAGAATGCCACATTCCAGTGCATTGCTGGCGGGAAGTGGTCTCAGCATGACAAACTTTGGCTCCAGGTAAGGATGGGAGAGGCCCCCTCCTCACACCTTCATAAGGGAAGAATGTACCTGCTGTGATGAAGGACGTGGTGGGGAAGGGATATTTTTTAAGTACCTCTGCTTCTTAGATGATATTTAGCATCCATAATCTTATTAAATAGCAACTAATTCTATTCTGTAGGCATCAGCATTCATAGTTTCGCTCCTCTTCTTGGATTTGAGCACATTGCCCGCAGTTGGAAAATCCCTGGATGCAGAGCGCACCTAGGGGCTAGCTGTTCTTCCTTGCTCCTTAGCAGGACAGTAGAATGAAAATGACAGCAATGCCTGCCTCTCCTGCTCCCCTGGGTTGCCTACTGACCCAGGAGAGCACAGCACACTTCCACGTGTCACTCAAGTATTACGTGGTGTTATTTATTCTTTTCATTATAATTAGTGTTCGAGTGCAACAAGCTCCCAAGAAGCTTTGTCATTTCAGTGGCTTGAGCTGAGCCTTGAGAAAGAGACGGGACAATCACAGTACTTTCGCATCTTTATTTGGCTTTCCCAATTATTTTATGATCTTTATTGCTGCAGTTCTGAGTTGCACACCCTACGCCTTGAGTCTATGGGTGGAAGGATGTTAACGCAGAATGTAATTGAAGTTTTGAAGAGAATAGGTGGGGACGTGTGGCGTGGCTCTCTCCCTCGTCTGATTTATCTACTTTTCAGTGTAAACCAAATCCTATCTCCCAGAACGCTTTCCAGGTGGCTTACGATGGCACATAAAACGTGACAAGATAGCAGAAATTAAAAGTGAGGCGAGATAGAAGGAAAAGAATATGGTGGGGCTGGAAAGAATGCTAACACGGTGTTTCTCCACGTCCGCCGCTTACGTGGGCCACAGCAGCGGAGCCGCCAACGGAATAAAGGCAGCTTGTCAGATCCACAGTTCCCATGTCCACGAGATAAACACGAACCAATTGCTTGGGAAAATTCTAACTGTGGTTCACACGGGCCAGACAGGAATTGTTCCCAGGAGTCCTCATAAAGGAACAGCCTGTGATGTAAGGAACTGAGCTCGCCGCTGCGGTCTTAGCGAGGGCACGCGAGTGCGTTTCATGGGCTTGTTGCACATAATGATGCTTGGCGTAAAGGCAGCTTGGGGACGTGGCTGAGGAGAGGGCGGGGGGTGGGCAGTCCGATTTGACAGAGGTCTCTCGCTCTCTGCTGATCCATCTGTGTCCTGGGATTCTTTTCTGGTATCTGGTGAGTGAACAGATTCAATATTTCTTTAAGGAAACCTCCCCGAATATTGTCTCCCTCGTCTGTATTTCAGGAAATATTGGGAGACAGACAGTTCCCCTATGCACTCCGGCATAATGCCTGCTTGGCTAGTTAAGTCCAGAGTTATATCCACCAGTGTCGTTGGAAATAGGTTAACATCTTTCTACACCTGCTACCCAGGAGACAGCTGCAGCCTGGATCGGAGACGGGCTGAGGCAGTGGCAGATTTCTTATGCAGTTTTCCTATGGATTTGTTCCAGCACCTAGAGGTGCAGCCTACAGACTCGCCAAAGCTCTGTTCCATTTAACGGCGCTGGGGCGACTGAGCCTGAGAATTTCCAAAGGAATTGAAATAGACATATCGTGACCAAGAATCTCCACAAGACACCCACCGCGGGTCTAAGTTTCAGCAAGGCTATTTCCTGCTGTCGCTTCCAAGATAAGCGGAGGAATCTCTGAGTCAGCAAAGGCAGAGACCGTTTACCCACCCGTTTTAAGTCAGGGGACGGAAGACACTTTGTTTCCAGAATAGCATGTCAGTGGCCCTTCTTTCCGGCAATGGTTGGGGAGCAGTCGGTTTGAGATCAATCCTATCACCCGTGTTGTAGAGAATGCTTGCCTTCCTTTCTACAGAGCAGGACTCTGTAGCCTGCTCATCCTTAAATGGGTTCAGGTGATAAATTAAGAAGTTAAAAAGGAAGACCAGCCTGTCCCCCTGCTTTACAGTCTCCTGGAAACTCCATATGCTCTTTAGAAGACCCCATCTGCTGGTGCTGGCTTTCACGGGGTTACAGCGTGAGTCCTGGCTACGAATTCATGGACAGAACCGTGCACTTGTGCCTAGAACAACTCTAATCCTGCAGGGAAGAGGCCGATAAAGGCCCACTACAAGTTATAAACAGCTCATCTCGTTCTGCGATGATTCCTCCTGAGGTGAAGAGTAATGCACAGTGAATGGTGCACGTTCTGTGGCCTCATTCATAACTTGCTGCTTTCTTGTGGGATACTTTGGTCTGAAGGACCCAAACTTGCACGTTTTCAAGCATTTTTTCAAACACATAGACAGTGTGCATTCTCAGTAGACTGTCCAGCGGTTTTCAACCTGTGGGTCGCGACCCCTTTGGGGGTCGAACGACCCTTTCACAGGGGTCGCCTAAATACATCCTGCATATCAGATATTTACATTACCATTCATAACAGTAGCAAAATTACAGTTATGAAGTAGCAACGAAAATAATTTTATGGTTGGGGGTCACCACAACATGAGGAACTGTATTAAAGGGTCGCGGCATTAGGAAGGTTGAGAACCACTGGTCTAGTCTAAGGTTTGGGGAGCCCTTTACAGCAAGAAGAATACTATGCAGGGTAAGGTAGGCGTAACTGGACCGCCAGGAGGAGCAGTGTAGCTCAGGAATGCATGTGGGCATGTTTCCTAGAAGATCATTTGGCAATAGATACCCAAAGCCGTGCATGTGCACATCCTTCCAATAAATGATTGTACTTATGGGAGTTTACTCAGGCAAATAACCAGAGACAGGAAGATTATCTGCCAGTGTGTTCAACAGGATGAAAAACGGAAAACAACCTACATGTCCAGCAAAAGGGACCTATTAAGTAAATGCTGGAATGGCGTCATTAAATTCTGGTTATAGAAGTCTCTGTATTGACATTGCCACCATATGTATTTAGGTGAAAAGAGCAAGTTTTAAAAAACAATTTATATGTTCAAGCTATTCATTTTTATGAGCAAACATATACAGCAGTCCCTCCTATATGCACAGTTTCAGTTGACTGTGGTCAACAGTGGTCCTAAAATATTAAGTGGAAAATTCCAGAAACAGACAATTCATTTGTGTTAATTAGTATGCCTTTCTGCGTAGTGTGATGAAATCTCAAGCGTTCCTGCTCTGTCCCACACAGGCTGTGAATCATCCCTTTGTCCATCGTGTCCATGCTCTATACGCTACCCCACCTGTTAGTCACTCAGTAGCCACCTTGTTTATGAGATTGGCTGGCACAGTATCACAGTGCTTGCGTTTAATAACACGTATTTTACTTAATAATGTCCCCAAAGCTCCAGAGCAGTGATGCTGACAATTCGAATATGCCAGAGAGAAGCCATAAAGTGCTTCCTGAGAGTAAAAAGATCTGTATCTGTGAAGAAACATAGTGTATATAGGGTTTGATATTATCCACAGTTTCAAATATCCACTGGGGTCTTGGAACTGATCCCCCATGGATGTGGTGGAACTGCTGTACTGTGTGCTTTTTATTTTCATCTCTATTCTTTTTCATTTTATCTAAATACACTAAAATGAGTGTAGGTAACATATAAATAGAAAAATGCGATTAAAATGAGAAAAATGGTCAAGGATATTCTAAGGATGGCAGGAAGCCTTAGCAGGGCGTTGGGGTAGCTCATTCCTCAGTGAGGGTAGCACAGGCCCCTTCCCCCCTTGAAGCTACAGGTAAAATGACCCTTGGGTTTTCCCCACACCCTCATCACCACCATCGGCTACTCTTTTTGTAAAAAAAACCACACACACCATGTTTTTATTGATTTCAGAGAGAGGAGTGGGAAATAGAAAAATCAATCATGAGAGAGAATCATTGATCAGCTGCCTCCTACACACCCCCTACGAGGGGATTGAGCCTGCAACCCAGGCATGTGCCTTGACTGGGACTTGAACTGTGATCTCCTGGTTCATGGGTCTGCGCTCAACCACTGAGCCACACCAGCCGGGCCCATCAGCTACTCTTCATCCATGAGGGGATTTAGGAATATTTCATGTATCACCTGGTCTTTATGGAAGACCGTGGCCCATGGGGGCCTTGCTCACACTTCTCAGAGGTTCCAGAGGAGACCCTATCAGCCCCACTGCAGGACTCATTTCCAGGCATCCCTACAAAGGACTTGCTCCACCAGGGGTTTTTACAACAAATAACATTTGAAGAGTCCCAGAAATAAGGCCATGTGTCCAAATGTTCTGCACAGATCTCAGCAAGAGCCGAGTATGTGTTTAGACGAATCACAGGCACTGAGCAGGGTGCACACCCTAACCTGGCAGGAGAAGGATCCTGCCCCGTGAGCGCGTCAGATGCACAGCGGCTACACCCGGCTGAGGAGATAAGAGGACACATTCATCCTTGCTGCAGCCCGGTCTCCCAGGAAACCCGTTTTCTCGCTCCCCCCAGGGCTAGCGCTGGCTCCCAGGGCTGTGAGTGTTCTGGAAGCAGCTCCTCCTCCTGCACCTGTACCGGGTGTTCCTTGCACTGTGGGACTTCTGTTGAAAATCTAGTGGTCACGCCATAGCTAAACAATAATGATAAATTAATAATACTCATTCCGGCTGGTGTTTATTGAGTGGTCACACATACGATGTATTTCATTCTCATAACCTGTATTTCATGTAGATACTATGTCTAACCCGTCGTATAGATGAGGGGGCTGAGCCTTAGGGGGTAGATGAGTGGCACAGGTCAGAGTCACCCAGGCTGTGCCTGGTGGAGGCAGCGTTGGAGTGTTGGCATGTGTCATATCCCTAAGTCCTGAGCTCACCCTTCCACGCCCACCTCCTGGGCCTGTCACCCTGTGTCACCACTCCAGCCTTTCTTTCCATACAGATGGCTTTCTATTAAAGTAATCATCTGTTTAGCACATACTGACATGCCTCTCATTTGCACTGTACTAGATACTTAAATAGAGCTGAGTTTCTCAAATCTACATAGTCAATGAAATAAAAATACCCCTG